CGGTGCTTATGATGCAGTCATCGATTTCTGGCCCAAGACCAACATCAGTTCCTACAGAGTACGGACATCCGCCAGATCTTATCCAGGCATTTAATGCAGCACATATTACAAACCCATCAGAAAATTCATGGTACATGGATACCGCCACCACCGCTCACTTGACGTCGTAGCCAGGTAATCTCGAGACCTCTTTTAATTCGAGCATCATTCCCACTGTTTACGTCGGTTATGGATCCCAAATCCCAATCACCCAAACTGGACTCACCCATATACACACACCGGACCATTCATTTCGTTTATCCCAAGTCTTAGTCACTACAAAAAAACATGCATATAGCGACGGAATTTCCGACGGAAATTTCCGTCGCACAGAAAATTGCGACGGAATGTGACGATTTTACGACGGAATGTGGAAAAAAATTATCCGTCGCAAACAGTCGCAAAATCCGTCGCAATTTGCTAAGATTTGCGACGGATAATTCTGTCACAACAAAGAAATAGATGATTTGCGACGGAAAATAAAAATTACGACGGATTCCGTCGCAATGCATTTGGTTTCGTTTTTCGACGAAATTTTTTGAATTTTGGGCGCATAAATTAATTTCATTTTGTGACGGATTGCGACGGAAAATTCTGTCGCAAAATGCAATATAAAACCACGAGTCGTCTTCTTCATCAGACTTCAAAAAATTTCGGAAAAAAATAAAAATCGCCAAATTTTTTCTAAATCTCTCCAAAGATCGCCAAATTTCTCCCATAAGGTAATATATATGTATTTATATATATATATGTGTGTGTTTGATGTGTTTGTATGTGTTTATGTATATGTATGTGTGTGTAAGTGAATGTGTATATATATGTGTGAATGTGTATGTGTGTGTGTTTATGTATGTGTATGTGTATATATATGTGAATGTGAATATGTATGTGTATGTATATGTGATTGTATGTGTATATGAATATGTGTATATGTGTGTGTTTATATGTATGTGTATGTGTTTGTGAACTGTATATGTGTATGAGTATTTATGTATGTGTATATATGTGTATATGTGTATATGTGTGAATGTGTATGTGTGTTTGTGTATATGAAAATATGTGTATATATATGTATGTATGTGTATGTATATTTGTATGTGTGTAATGTATGTGTATGAATGTATGTGTATATATGTGAAAATGTATATATGTATGTGTATATATAGTGTATAATTTTTTTATATTTTTTTTTTAATTTTTTTAAAACATTTGCGACGGAATGCGACGGAATTTTTTCCGTCGCAATTTGCGACTGAATTATCTGTCACTTTCTGTCGCAAAACGCAGATTTTTTCTGTCGCAATTATGCGACGGATTAACGACCGTTATACATTTGCGACAGCGCTATAGCGACGGACTTATGTCCGTCGCATTCCGTCGCAAATTCTTAATTGCGACGGATTTCCTTTATATTTGCGACGGATTTTTCCGTCGCTATATAACTGTTTTTTTGTAGTGAGTCTCTTCATCCATTGTCAAAAACATCATTTCGGTTCGTCAATTTACCCGTGATAATAATTGTTCGATCGAGTTTGATGCTCATGGTTTTTCTGTGAAGGATCGACAAACACGGACGGTGCTACTCTGATGTAATATCTCGAGTTCCCTCTACCCAGTCATACCCACATTCCCTAGCGCTCGGGGAAGTAGGCGTTGCATAAATACATGACAATCATGACTTGACATCCAGGAAATTCAGTTTTCGTTCTTTACAATCATTTGGATTTTTTCGGTGTAATAATGACAATGCGGATCATCTTTGTCACGCGTGTCAACTTGGGAAACACACTGATTACCATTTCATAAGTCTTCTTTGATGACTCATTCCCCGTTTGAAATTATTCACTCGGACATATGGACTTCTCCTATTCTGAGTAATAGTGGAATCTGTTATTACGTATTATTTCTTGACCACTATTCTCATTTTGTTTGGAAACACCCTCTTCGTCGTAAGAGTGATGTGTTCGCTAAGTTTTTACATTTTCACTCTTACGTTCGCACACAATTTGACAAACCCATCAAAATTTTTCAATGTGATCACGAGGGAGAATTTAACAATACAGCCCTTCAGGAATTCTTTGACTCGAACGGAATCACCACGAAACGAGTTCTGCGGTATATACAAGGCACTAGTCGCCATGGTCTTCATCTACGTCCTAGCTCAACCGAAGGTTTAACAACTTATTCGGACGTCGATTGGGCTTGTTGTTCGGACAAACGTCGCTCCACCTCTGGATATTGTGTGTTTCTTGGGGACAATCACGTCTCTTGGTCATCGAAACGCCAACCAACATTTCTCGTTCGAGTGTTGAAGCCGAATATCGGGCAGTTGCAAATGTTGTTGCTGAGACATGCTGGCTACATAATCTTCTTCTTGAGCTACATTGCCCCATCTCTCAAGCAACATGTGTGTATTGCGATAATATTTCTGCTGTCTATCTCTCCACCAACCCGGTTCAACATCAACGCACAGAACACATAGAGATTGACATTCACTTTGTTCAGGAAAAGGTTGCGCTTGGTTCTATTCGTGTCCTACATGTTCCCTCATCTCGTCGATTTGCAGATATATTCACGAAGGGTTTGTCAGCCTCACTCTTATTGGAGTTCCGTTCCAGCCTTTGCGTTTGCTCATCTCACGCTCAGACTGCGGGGGAGTGTTAGATAGTTACCTTAATTATCTTCATTATCTTCGTGTAATCTTCAGAATATCTTCCCATTATTCCATTGTTGTATTATATATAGAACATTCTTTACATGAATAAGACGATGAGAGTTTTACCAAGTTACAAATTTTGGTTTTTCGGGAATTTTATAAAGTTCGGTTCGATTCGGTTCTGACAAATTCAATTATATAAAAATTATACCATTCGAAAAATTTGAACGGTAGAGTTCAAAAAAAATATCGAAATTTTCGGTTCGGTACGGTTCGGTTCCGAAGAACCGAACCAAAACGCCCATCCCTATCTGTAAATAACATTACAAAGATTTAATTTTGAAAAAAATATAGTATGATATTTTAGTATATATCTATTAACATGTTATGCTCCACATTGTATAATGGTAATTATATAGGGTTTTTTAATTTAGATTTCCATTTTATTTTATTCTATAAATTGATTGTATATCGAATGAATAATATAAAAACCATTTATACATAGTTTTTAGAGTCGTTTAACATTTTAAAACCTGATTGTAAGTTGTGTCTCTTCGACCTAGAAAACTTTAACCATTGATCATACTTAGTCATGTCAATTGGGTTGGCCTAACCCATTTAGATTTGAAGGATAAACGGGTTGGATTAGGTTGATCCTTTAATAATAATAGATTGGTTTGAGTCGATCCATTAAACCCGTATAAACCATATAAATCCATTTATATATTAGGTTTGAATCCACTGGTAGGGAGAGATGTAATTTTTGGACCAAAATAGTCAATATACAAAGGCTGGTCTCGGACCTAGGATGGATGTTGTCGGATCGAAGGCCCGAGGAACCATCCTGGTTATAAAAAAAATCCATTTATATATATTCATAAACTACTTATACATATGTATAACTATTAATATATATACTCATATAACTTAGGAATTGTCAATAAAAATATAACTGGACATTATATTATATTCGATAGTTTATAAATAAAAAAAATCATACATTTCTTTAAAAAAATCAGATTTTTTTATTTTTTTTTTAAATTCGATTGGATGTTTTAGAAATATTGTCGTTTAGATTTTTTGAACGGTTCGGTTCGAAAACGACACCGATTTTTTCGATACGATTCGATTCGGAAATGGTGTCGAGTTTTCCGATATGATTCGATTTTTTCGGTATGATTCGATTCGGAACGGTATGGAGTTTTTTTATACGATTCAAATTTTTCAGCACGATTCGATTCAGAAACTATATCGAGATTTTCAGTATGATTCGATTTGAGCGATATCAAGTTTTTCGATACAATTTGATTTTTTTTGGCACGATTCAATGCGAAAACGACACCGAGTTTTTCGGTATAATTCGATTCGGAGCAATATCGATTTTTTCAATACGATTCGATTCAGAAACAAAACCGAATTTTTAGGTACGATTTGATTCGAAAACGATACCAAATATTTCGATTTAATTATATATATATATATATATATATATTTATATATATAAATATCTATATATGTTAATTTTTATATATCTAAATATAACTATTTTAATTAATTAATTTTAAATAAATATATAATGGATTTAATGGGTTAACCATGTAATTCATGGATTAAATGGGTTTTGAAATTAGCCAAATAGATTAACCCATTTAGACTTATAAGTGGGTCGGGTTGGGTGAACCCATATAAACCGACCCATTTTGGCATCTCTAATCGTCCTCGATTTTTACCGTTTCGCTTGTCCTAATCTAACCTCCTCATCGTAAATCGCTGTTTACCTTTCCGATAACAAAACTTAAAAAAATCATACCCCTTTCGAGTACCCACCATTGCTCTTTATAGATATCTCAAATACGAACCATTACATTAAATTCGTCAAGGCTCACGTTCATATAAAAATCTCTTGCGGATCATCCAATATTTTGTTTCAAACAAATAATCGTGATCTATATTTAATACATTTTCTACATAGTCTTAAGTTATTACTGTTCACACGATGATGAGAGGTTAATGAGTCTATGATTGTTTCAAATTATTTAGAGATGTCGTTATATAACAAATATGTAAATTATATAATGAAACGTAACGGATTCATTAAATGATTTAGTACAAAATATATAACTATAATTCTCAAATCGTAGATTATCATAGAGAATCTAAACCTATATATATATACATTTACATTCATATATATATATATATATATATTAACATATACACGTACATACATATAAATATATGGATACAGTAAACTTAACGTTGTCTACTTAACGTGTGTTACGTCATGGCAAATAAATCCGTTAGAATTTGACATTTTGTAATCACATTCAACGAAGATGAATACCGTATATAAAAAAAAAATTATGTAATTTTTTTTTAATAATTTGAAAGTTCACCGTGGCAAAAGGTTCGACTATATTTCTCCGAGAAAAATTATATGATTTTAAAAAACATGTTTCAATAATTCAACCGTTTGTAGTTAAATAATACACTTTGCAATCAGTTTCACTACAACTAGTATGAAATCTATCAAAGCAACACCTCCAAAAGCGTCAGCAATAATCACAGATAACTTACCTCGAGAGTTATTGGCCTCTGTACAACTGGGTTGCCTCTGTTGATTTCGTATCGGTATCTCTCTTTCCGAAAGCTTTGGAATGAGCAAATGTAGAGAGAGAAAAGGGCTGAAGGAGATGTGATAAGGGCTACGAGTATCATCTAGAGAACGTTCTGGAGGTAGTGTTGTTGCTGGAACTGCTTCCTGATCCCCTGCCCTTGTCTCTGTCTCCGCTATATGACAAGCTGCTCTCGGATCTTCCACGGTCGAGAACATGAGGGCTCGGGAGTCGGTTAACATCCGATTCCTGGTTCGATGTTCTCTCGGGGTTATCCGACACAAAAGCTTGCCTGTGGGAGCTGCTGCTGCTGCTACTTCGAGCTTTGTCCATGTTTTGGAGCTCATTCGCGATCTGACTTCGTCTCTCCTTGAGGAAGTTGAGCCGTGTCGTCAACTTTGAAAGCGCGGAAGTTGTGGATCCCTGTTTTTTTTTCAAAAAAAACCTCAGGTCTTTGTTCGTAAACTTATCCGATTATATTACAAAGATTACCTCTCCCTTAATTCCGGATTTCTTAGACATGCCGGCCAATTTGGAGCTCGTACGTGACGTTGTTTCTTGTTGCTGGCTCGGTTTTGAGCTTCTACTTTGTGAAGAGGCTAGCTCCTGCGACCTCTCCATCTCGCTTTCTCTATAAGCATCCTGCCAAACGTAATAGATTTACTTCGCTCAGATATACGAAGGGCCGAAGTAGAGATTCCAGACATGTATTAGACAAATGATATGTTACCTGTAGCGGTGACCTATCTAAAACATGAGAAGTGCTTGTTTGGGTATCCATTTCTTTGTCCTTCCTGCATCAAACGAGTTAAGGACAAATAATAACAACAGCGGGAAGCAGATGCGAAGACAATTGCTGCTTTTTTTAAAGTGATAAAGCATGAGCTAAAAGTTCGTTTATAAATCTGCAGGCGAATCCTTACATTTTTGCACCGTGCGTGGAACCGGAGCTTTCCCGCGTCTGCTCACCGAGTTTATTTTCAAGATTGTCAACCTGCTGTTCCAACTTGGCAATATCGATCTCTGCCTGGGCTACATCTTGCAAATCTTTCGTCAACTGTAACAAGTCGTCGAATTAGATACACTCTTCGCCGAGAGAAAAGTGAAAGGTTAGGTATAAACCTTTCAACGAAAAGAAGGCCAACCTTTTCGTCGATAGTGTCTGGGATATGTAGGTTTCCTTTCGGCATGTTAAGTCCTGCTTCTAGAGCAGTCTTCTTGTCTCTCTCTCGTTGCAATTTCTCTTGCAGTCTTTCCACCTACAGCACCACAAACAACATTCTTAAGACCATAAATTCGCGAACAATCAATAGAACAAGCAAGTAGAGTTTATAAAAATCTGAATCCCGAAAGGGAGAGAGTAGATCTGAAGGTACACATACATCCTTTTCTAAAGCTAGACGGCGCCCGTACAAGGCCTTCTTTCGCCGGTCCAAACTAGCCTGTAGAACTGCATTGCTTTTAACCTGTTCTAACACAAATCATGGTTGTAAAAGGTCCCACACTCATGAAAAAATAGTTGTATACATAAAATGAGATATATAATTCGAATCCTTAAAAGGACTTGTCCTTAAAAGGGCTTATTATCTCTACCTCTTCTGAAATTCTGTTTTGCAGCTCCAATTTGGCTGACTCAAGTCTCTCGATTTCAGCACTGCAGAATGCGAAAATAACCACGTCAAGACCTCACACAACGCACCGTACCAATTTACGGAAATTTTTCAATCCAAAAGTTCTGCAGTTTTCACTAGTTTTCTTTTTGGTTCAGTAGATTTCCTAAACATTGCATGGCGTCCAGCGGTTTTATAGATATAAATCTGTAAGAGATGATAGAAGACACTTACTCTTCCTCCTCTTCAACTGAAAAATCAATAGATTCCATTGAAAGGTTCTTCTTTCCCTGCACACATAAAATCACAACTTAATCAAAGGAACCATGGATAATACATATGACAAGAAGATTTTCTATGACGATAGTGAACAATTATTTTCAGAAGCCTTTAGAAGGAGCTATGGAAAAAACAAAAGATGGAAGCTTAAGAAACTGAGGGAGCAAGAACAATGCTAGCAAGGGCCAAAAGCTGAGTGGCGGAATCATATATCTGCCCAAAAAGCGATACTCACAGGAGTACGTCCCCAGAGCCTTCTGCTCCCCCCTGTTGCATTAGTTAAAGTAGGTTGTTTCTGGACCCATGATGCAGAACCTGAAGTTGCTGAATTCTTATCGAAATTTGTTGAGACATCTTCTGCAGACTTCTCTGAACTATCGCCACTTTTAACCAAGATATTCTCATTCTTTTTTGCATCGTTACGGTGGGTTAGTGAAGAGCGCCTACCATCAGATAAAAGCTTCTTAGTAACTTTTGGCTTGCTACTTTCTTCGGGTGTTCTGGGTTCCAAGCTTAAATCAACAGATATCTGTATGGTTGCAAAAATCAATGTCGACTTAGATAACATAAGATTAAGAAACTTAAGCATATCGGTGCTTATGATTCTAGTACGAATCTATACGATTTAAAACTATTCCAAAACGGATGTGACCTGAGCCAGAAGACAAACATACCTTGTTGTGGCCCTTTGTACCTCTGTCATCTACATCATCGACAGTTGAGGTGGCACTCTCGCCGTGTGAACTATAAGATGCACTATCATCATCATCGTCGTCGTCTTCTTCATCATCATCGTGATAATCATTATCATCGACATTTGTGTTGTAAGATCTTTGTGATGCATCATCATCATCATACTCTTCATCATCCGTTTCCCCCTCTGTCCCACTTCCACTCTCTTCTGAGTCAGAGTACAAGTCGGCTGACAAGGAACCTTCCTGCAGAGAGAACAATGAAATAGCTGGAAATCAGTCTCTGAGAATAAGCTCACCAGTAGTTTACGAGAAAAACACACAACAGTGAAGCACCTTTTCTCATCACCTAAAAGGTTTATGTGATATTATAGCATTAATGAGAGGGTAAAAAGTGTTGAAAAACTGATCGACTTTCGTTTATAATGAATATCTAATGAGAGTCAAAACTAACATAAATTGAACAACAACAATATGTCGCTGAGTTAACCAACAATCAAGAGAAAACAAGCTACTTGGAAGGCCATTAACCATAGAAGAAAAGTACGAACTTACTCCGAAAATGCTATCATATTCTTCTAGTAAAGTTATAACGATGGCTTGTGCATGATTGGCTGCAGCAGCTGCTTGCAGAAGTTGCATAGAACCATCGCCACCAACATCAAAATCATTTTCTATCTCACAGTCGCCAGCCAGAAGAGGTCGCAGAAGTAAGGGTGCCATACAAGCTGCAACTGCTGCAGTACTCATTCGGTTTACATTTTTATGAGAAGACACAGTCTGCATCATCATCAGAATTCTAGCAAAAGGAAAAACAGAGGGATGATGGAACCAATTCAAAGATATGTATGTGCCTATATATGATAGAACACTTTAGTCGGAGGAAAGCAACAGCAAATTTATGAAGTTCAGAGCCTGATGGTACAGTTCAAAATCATAATCTTAAATGAGATATTTTCCATGCAAACTTTCATGGTTCATGGAAAAAGCAAGACAGAAATAGGACTAAGACGATAGGAAGTTAGAGGGAAATGATATTTGATTATGCTAGAAGTTACTGACTATATATTCGCTTTTCTCAATATCCAGAAGCTAGCAAATTTAGCCCCACGAAATCCGTAACCTTCTGAGAAAAACACTATTGCAACATATAATAGGATTAAGAGGCTACCTCTGCAATAGACGCCGGTTTGGTTCAGGGAATGTTTCACAAATTGCAGAGCGCATTGCATTGAGTCTATTGTTAGATTCAGTACCTGACCATCATACAGTTAGCATCAAGCACAAGAAAAATGAGGAAATTATAAGTTACAAATAGGCATGCAAATGACCACTTTGATAAAATATATGCATCTGTTAAATCCATATTTCAGAGCCGTAAACGCCCATATAAATTCTGGCTCAAAAGAAAAGAAATTTGTTTGAAGCTGCAGCTCATCTCGTCATCATTCATCTTAACAGTAAAGATCCTTGGTCAAAATGAAACCAGTAAGGACGTCATATGGATTAGCAAAAGAAAAATGTCTCCTTGCAGGATCTCGCTAGAGCCTATTCTCAAGACAGCTCATTATTGACCAAGTTCCAGACTACAATGGAATATTATGTCAGCTCGAGCGGAACAAAGAAAGTAAGCCTAGCTAGAATTCTTATATGAACTTCTAAATTCCGAGTGTCACGAAAAGGGTTCTGTGCCACTTCCGAAATCCAATTAGCGAAAAGTGGTTGACCTTTAATGGAGAAAAATAAGGCAATTTGAATTAGGCACACTGTAAATCTGTGCAAGATCATGCTTAGTTTACAAAAGAATGTATCTTGATTTCTTGGAGCGCCAAAGAATGGCCTTACACAGAAGCAGAAGATGAAAATCGTAAACTTACGGCAAGCTTCCAGAAGGGCATTGCAACAAGATGCAGGTACCGGAGATGAAGGCAACTCCCTGAGAAAATACTGGCGGATGCATATCATTTAAGTTAGACAGGTTTCAGAGTGGAGGAATATATCAGCGTAGTAAATCTGGAAAGTAACTCTACCTTAACACAATCAGCAACTACATGTGCATCCTCCCCTGGTAAGAAAACATTTTTTCCTGAACCAAGTAACTGTACGTGTTACCATTTTTGTATAAAGCACGTAAATCTGGAAAGGGGCAATTAATCCATGTAATTATGCATACACATATATGCAAGTGAAACTCAAACCTAGCTCATATTCGCGAATCCGGTGTTCAACGTCATCGACATCAGCAGCTTGTCTCAAGATACCTTCTACCTTGACACCTGCAATTGTAATTTCCTTTGTTAATTTTACATGACCGAAAGGAGGCAGTAAATCAAGCTGCCAACTAATGGCATGCTATCATGAAACAGCCAAATTCAGGAAAACAGGAAAACGCATGAAAAAGATGTTGCATACTCTATAGCTAAGCCTGGCCTTATGTACCACTAATGCTCTAGTAAAAGAAGAGTTTTCGGGGATAAGAACTAAGTAGGAACTCCATTGATGATATCGCACATGAGAATAATGCGTTCTCAGGTAATTAGATAACATGTAAAGCAGCCTATGATATTGAAATACTCTCCGAGAAATTTTTGACGAATAGGGGGGCAAGAACGTAACTAAAATAAGGGATGTCTTTGGAGTGAGATCCATGTATATACTGGAGAGGAGAATTGTGTATTGATACACATTGGAAAATATACTGGGGTCAAGATGCCCAGCCATAACTTAATAAAAATGGGAAATGTATGAGTTTCGTTGGTCAAATCTATCTATAGATTAACCTTACAAATTGCTCATGAAGCAAAGAACCAACCCCTGCAGTAATGAGCCCGGCACTGTTGCCAAACCTCTCACCAGGTTGAAGGATATCATCAAACATAAAAACTCCCATTTGTACATTAACATTTGAGCAGTTGCATAAATCTAGGAAAACAATAGAGGAAAACGCACCATGATCTTCAACAAACCTAAGAGCCTTTTCCAAGAAAGATGGAGTTCCATCAACATCTTCTAGAGCAAGTAATATCGGTCTGCCAAGCACCATCGATTTTGTAGGTGACTGATCATTTCCTGTAAAGAAATTGAACATCAATCGGTGTCTTGACAAATTGGAATCAGAACTAAGTTGCAACCGAGTGGCCATCATTATTTAGACGGCATCAAGATGCCTGTAGACCTTTCCTAGAGAGGAACAAAACATCCTTAACAGTTTAGGGGATCTTGCAGCTACAAATGAGTGATTAAAGGACAAAAAACGATGAAGAAATGATGAACTTACTGTTTTCTTCAGAACCATTTGGGGTTGCTTCTCCATCATCATTCCTCAAAATGCCATTCTGACCCATCACATGCGAAGCACTAGGTGCTAGAGCCAGAGCATTTTCCAGAGCAGTTTTCCACTCATATAAATCCTCGTTAGTTTCGGCCTGAATAACACGTCAAAGATGATTATCAATTATCGACTTTGTTGCAATGAATGAAGTGAAAACGGCGCTAAACGCATATTCCAGAGCAAAATGACATTGCTACTAGAGGTAGCTGTGACAGATCTGAAGAAATGAGATCAAAACATACGTAGATAAAATCTAAATTCATCGACAATGTCTATATTTTTACATTTCTTACTATGAACTATTCTGCCAATTCAAACGGAACAGTTTGGGGGAAGAATATAATGTAAAAAACATAAAGTTAGGTCAACACGATTATTGGATTCATCTGGTAATAACAATATCGAGAAGACAGATAACATGGAAAGAAAGTAGAACCTTTTATCACAAACCTTGAGTGTAAAGGCACGTCCATCGCGTCCATCAGGAAAGAGAACAGTCAACAGCTTTTTATCCGCCTTAACAACCACACTAGAAATTGTCCAAAGAATATACGACGTTAGCGGAATTCCAAGATTTATCATCAAACATCGCTCAAAGAATTGACGTAATAAAAAAATTACGATTCAAACAACAAGCCGACCTGCCTGAATTGTTGAGGTCAATTCCACCAAGAGTTAAATTGACCTCAGTGCCTTTCTGTGGAACAGCACTCTGAAAGTTAAATTGAAAAAAGTGAGCCTTCAAATCTGTATAGACCAATGTTTTCTTTTGTTCATATATATTTGGTTCTCATATATAAAAAGAAAATGCAGCCTAGAAACCAGATGAGCTGACAGTGCTGTTCACATCCTGTACTCTCTGGTATGCTATTTATATTCTCTCATAAATATTTCTTTTCCTTGTACCGCCTAACCTTATTCGAATGCTCATGAAGATGACACTATCAAAATTATCCGATGTTGGATGACACTACCATGCAAAGATAAAAAAAATGGTTCATCTTTTTGGAACGATATAATATTAATTACAGAGGATCAGTAATGTTTTAGAAAGAACAAGAACGCAACACCGGAGAATCACTCTTCACAGTGAGAACGCTTACTGGGTCACTTCGAAAGAAAACAAGTGAAGTACGCGTCAAAATGAACCATCTTTTCTTCCATGATGTCCATCCAATCCCTACGTTTAGGAAAAAAAATTTAAAAGGTGGTGCCTTTAAGAAAAGGCGAAAATTGCATAGAAAGCATGAGTTATATAGCTAAAGCCATCAACAATAAGCAAGCCTGAAAGGCCATTTCATGATACAGATTAGCTAGAAACCCGTTCATTTTTCAAAATAGAATGAAGAAAGATCTAACAACCATTTCATAAATTTGCAGCAAAGAAGAAGGAATGAAAGTCCGAGAAAGCATTTTGAAACTGGAACTGTCAAAGAAATCCTGAAAACTAGCTCAGTCCTGTTCTCAACTCAGCTCAGCTTAATCAGATAGCTCGTCTGAAGAAGAAAACAATACCTTTTGATGATATAAATAGCGGTCCGCTCTTGAATACCTACAAAAATAAGTTGCAGAGTCCAAGACAAAAGCCTTCTGAGGAATTGAAAAGAGGGAAAAACAGCCAATCCGTTTCATAAATATCTTAGGGGAAACTATCAAGGAATCCAGTAATAATTATGCTCTAACAATCCTAGAGAAAAGCTAATTCTGTTCATGTTCCCTCCAAGTATACCAATCATCAGGATTGCCATGTAGCTTCTTCAAGAAAACATCAATGCTGATCTCGTGATCATACATGATTTCTCATTACACGCCATGGCACACTGAGAGAGCGGGACAAACATTTGAAACAGCAAATTTAACCGAATTCTCCTACTTTTGGAGATTGATATGAGATTGTGAACATACATTCACCTACTTGATGTTAATACAACATCATGGGCTTCGATCATGAGTGACCATTTTTGTACTTTATCAGCTAAACATCTCTTCAACTATTCATTTCACCACAAAGAGAGAGAAAGATAATTTACCGCGTTGCCAGCGCCTCGGTTACGTGCATCCGGGGCTCCAGACTGAGGAGGAGGAGGAGGAAGTTCACGGGCTTCACCCTTCGCCGTGTGAACTATAAGATGCACTATCATCATCATCGTCGTCGTCTTCTTCATCATCATCGTGATAATCATTATCATCGACATTTGTGTTGTAAGATCTTTGTGATGCATCATCATCATCATACTCTTCATCATCCGTTTCCCCCTCTGTCCCACTTCCACTCTCTTCTGAGTCAGAGTACAAGTCGGCTGACAAGGAACCTTCCTGCAGAGAGAACAATGAAATAGCTGGAAATCAGTCTCTGAGAATAAGCTCACCAGTAGTTTACGAGAAAAACACACAACAGTGAAGCACCTTTTCTCATCACCTAAAAGGTTTATGTGATATTATAGCATTAATGAGAGGGTAAAAAGTGTTGAAAAACTGATCGACTTTCGTTTATAATGAATATCTAATGAGAGTCAAAACTAACATAAATTGAACAACAACAATATGTCGCTGAGTTAACCAACAATCAAGAGAAACGTCATTACCATTCTCACCGGGGAAACTCCATCCAAATTTCGTCAACATCGTACGATCAGAGCATAAAAGAAGAAGAACAACAAATCTAATCGGAGTAGAATTTTCAAAAACAAAATAAATTGCTAGTGGTAGATTGGTACGAACATGTTGATGCTGCTGCTGCTGGACCTGAGGATTCGGAGATTCTGTGTCTTTGTTAGCCATAACACAATACTCCAATTCACATCATCGCCGCCGGAAAACTTGCGCCACTTATCAACGGAAAATGGAACTCAGACCAAATTGAAAAAGAAATCCGGCGACGAATAAGAAATCGAAACTTGCGAAATTACTGAGACTTGAAATTGACAATCAAACAAAGATCGGAGGAAGAGAGAGAGAATCTTCTGATGGAGAAAATCTGGGGAGAACGGAACGATGAATGGGTGACTTTTTTTTTTTTTGGGATAGAGAGAAAAAATTGAGAATGTTTGCTATGGAAGAGGTGTAGCGGAAAAATTGGGCGGAAAGAGAGGAGCCTCTTTTTATAAGACAGAGTTGTCCACGTCATCCGCTTTTCTTTGGAGGGAACAAAGTTCTCAGCTTGTTTTTTTCCCTCTTTGACCTCTTCATTTTTTATTTGCTAAATTTGCAAAGAAAAAATTAATTTGCAAGTACCTCATCATTTAATACAATAAATGAGATATATTTTCTATTTCCATCTTACTTTTCCATGAATATGAAAGTTTTCATGGATTATGTAACTCATTTAAGATTACATATAAACAATATATATATATATCGGGGATCTCCTCCAATTCTGTTGGTTTGAGAGCCCACTTCCTGGAAAAGAGGTCGTGGGTTCAACACCCAGAGTATGGAGATTTCTCCATCGCCTGTCGGTTTCGACCGATTTACCTCCCATGTATCTGTTGTAGGCTCGGATGCATGGGCCGAAGTAGTTTGGGCTCTTTGGGGCCCGGGAAACCGGCTTATCAAAAATATATATATATATATATATATCAAATCATAATATATATATATATCAATGAGAAACATAATTTATAGAAGTTGACATGGTTTGAAAAATAAAATAAAAATTTGTTTATGATATGATAGGATTGTATCTTTAAACTTTGTACATTCATACTAATATTTGTCTGTTTGTTGAGTCGTTCGATTTGAATGCAACGAAATTTAGGCTTTGAATGGAGATGGCTTTTATTTTTGGTTTTTGGTTTTAGTTTTTGGATTTTGGTTTTTAGTTTTTGGTTTTTGGTTTTTGGCTTTTGGATTTTATAATATTTGAAAACTCAAAAAAAGTAGCTTTTGGTTTTTCATTGATTTTTTCACTAAAATGGCTTTCCAAGTTTTTAGGAAAAGTAATTTTGTAAAAACTTGAATGTTGTTTTTTTTGGTTTTTGGATTTTAAAAACTCCAAAAACTCCTACCATTCAAGGCCTTAAAGTATTTGATATGCCCTTCAATATTATTTATTATTTATTTATCTTTTATGTTTTTTAAATACCATTCATTAAATTGTAGTAAATAAGAAGAATAAGACCCAACAGCTTGTGGGCGAGTGGTCAGCAGTTAGGTGCAAAGCATTAAGAGGTTGGCGGTTCGATTCCTGGTTGGGGAGGGATTTTCATATGGGCTGTTCCGGTCCTCTGGAAGATGTAGTTGGGCCAAATACTAGTTGCATTTCATTCACAATGTATTATATGATTGAGACTAGCTGCATTTCATTCAAAAGACAAAGTTCAAATTGAAATTAATAAGATGTTTTAGTATCACAAAATAAATTCAGGATTGGGCTTTTACCAAAATTACTAGAGTTTATATTGTGTAAATAGACACAATATTGTATACTATTTCATAAAAACGATGAATATATCTAAACTTTATATGAATAAATAAAATTAAAATATGAATGTATTTAGATAATATGAATCTCATTAAAATTTACTGTTTTTGTAACTAATCTTTAGTATTCCTATCTGAATTTCAAATGGTTTCGTACTCTCCTAACGATATTTACATAATCAATTCTCTTTTATCTTCATCTTTATCCCCATAACTTTTAATAGTTATTCTTTGGAAAATCCCCAAAAAAATATTCAACTTTCAAATTTTGACAGAAAAACACTAAACTTTTTATTTTATCAAATTTTTTAGTTTGACAAAACAAACATTTAACGCTTCTACGATTGTCAAAATAAACAAAATAACTTACGTGTCATGCGAACACATCAAATTATTTTACTTAGTTTTTTTTAACAATCGAAGAAAATTCATATATTGTTTTGGATCACTAAAAAAAGTTCTGTGTTTTTTTTATAATCGCAGAAAAGTTCATGTATTTTTTGGATCAATTAAAAAGCTCAGTGTTTTTTAGATTCATTTAAAAAATTTAATGTTTATTTGACAAAAAATAAAGTTCAGTATTTTTTGTCAAAATTGAAAAGTTTAATTTTTTTTGGAGTCTTCCTTCTTTAAATAAAGATAAATCCAACAAAAAAAAATACGAATTAATAAATATAATAGTTAATAGTTATGTATTAAATGTTGACTTACAACTTAGCTCAACTAGAAAGTGAATGACTCTTATCCAAATCCAGATTTGAGTGTTTATTTGGGGAAAGATTTATCTAAACTTTTTTTTTGGAAGATGTAATTGAATTTCTGAATTATAAAAAAACTTTGGTCATGATATAAATAAAATAAATATTGAAATTCTTATATTCTCAATTAGCGTTTACTCCTATACTAGTATTTACTGACGACCTTAGTACAACTTTGCATCGTATTATTGTTAACTATAAAGTCACCAAGTATATCATTTTCTTCCCACACAGAAGTGCTCTGCACGACCCATCTTAATATGTCGATTTTAATTATTTAACAGGGAAGGTGATATTTATTTGAATATTTGTACCCATGTATTAAACGAGTATCCTTTGGATAATGCGTCGCGAGTGCATGCAGAGTCAATCATTCGCATCTTTCTGGATATTCATGAACTGGACATGTTTTGGATGATAACTCAATATCATATTAATACTTTAGCAGAAAATCGAATATATAAATATAGTTTATGAATTGAATGGATAGATACTGATCCTTCGATCCCTTTATTTTTTTACATCATTTTTTTTAATTTTGTAAAACTATGTCAATTGACTTTTGTGGAAGTTATCACCGATATTGAATTGAATGGACAGATATTGATCTTTGGATTCCTTTATTTTTTTTGTCATTTTCTCCAATTTTGTAAGAACCATGTCAATTCACTTTTGTAAAAAAGCTATAACCGATAACTTATTATTGATTTTAAAATTAAATATAATATATTTTGTTTTTGAGATATTTTTTGTAGTATTTTTTAGTGTTAGACAACTATGTATTTTTAGTCCCATATTCTCCCACGGTTCGGTCATATAAAACTGTGTTTTGTTTTGAACCGCTATGGCTAGCATCATCCGGAAGAAATCAGACAGTCAACGTCAGCGAGAGCACTCCTTTAAAACCATCGGCAATCAAATCCATGACATCATAGTTCATAGAATAAGAGAATAAGATCAATGATAAGGAATTTGAGATAAAATCTATCGGTGCTAGATTCGATCAAGAAGCGGGAAGCTTTTGTTTCTCGAAGAAAAGGGGCAATCCCGATGATCCAACCTGGAAGACTCGCGTTTTCAAATTGAGGGTACAAATTTACAGTGTATTATTTTTTTCATAGTGATGAAGTGGGTAGATTTTATAGTGTATTATTTTTTTATATGGATGAATTCATCCGGAAAGAAGGAAAACTATAGATTTTATAGTGATGAAGTGGGTAAATTTACAGTATACATGGCAGGTACACTTTAAACAAAATATAATATCGACAACGAAGTTATATTCCATCTCGTATCGACCATGCACGCACGCATGATGAGCTTTCACCAGAAGAAACTTGTGCATTGCAGATGTGGCTGCACAAAGCTACCCACAAAAGCTTCATGATGCAATTCATCCATATTCTGCGATTATTCCAATATATATATAAATAGACATGTTGCATGCATTTGTAAATTTATAACACATCCATGGCAGTCTTTTTTGTGTGAATATGATGTTATGGAACATGAGAAAAAATGAATTCTACTTTATTATAATATCATATATAAATATAAGACTTTCGGTCGAGCATTTATAAGACACAAAATTTATTTAATTCTTCTTGGTCGAACCAATATTTTACATTTAAGAAAATGGGTTTGTCAAAAGCAAAATCCAAAGGGCGTGGCCGGAAGGCCACGAAACAGCAATAATTTTTCTCCAGGATTCCCATGTATTTTGTTTGGAATACAAGAGGCTTGAATAGCCGTAACAAAAGTTTTTTGGTTCGCAAGTGGATTTTGGATCACAAGCTGAAGATGGGTGGTCTTTTAGAAACTCACATTAATGAAGTCAACTCAGATAGAATTAGTCAAGTACTACCGCCCGGGTGGAAGAGTTTCTGTAATTATGATGGAGATTCAGCGGGAAGAATTTGGTTGATCTGGGACCCTCAGATTGTAGTAACCATCTACCGAGTCTCTAAACAGGCCATTACGTGTGGAGTTTGGCACCAAGACCGTAATGAATCTTTTGCTGCTACTTTTATATATGCAAGTAATCATGCTCTCGAGAGGAAAGAGCTATGGGAGGAGTTAGCAGAAATCTCCCTGTATCCCCCCATTTGCGAGTCACCTTGGGTTGCATTGGGTGATTATAATCAGATCCTATCGGCATCAGAACGTTCAGACTTCAGACTATCCAGACTATGTGTGCAGAGCTCAGGGGTTATCTGATTTTCAGACCTGTATAAATGTTACGGGTCTGACGGACATTCCATATAGAGGTTTCTACTTCACATGGTGCAATCATTAGAGCCAAGGCCCACTGTCAGTTAAACTAGACAGAGTTATGGGAAACGCCAAATGGATGGAGAGAAACCCCACTGTCATTGCGGAATTTATGCATCCAGGACCATCAGACCATTCCCCGAGCATCCTGCGATTCCCGGTTCCAATGCATGAGGTACGCCGTCCTTTTAAATACTTTCATCACCTCACCCTGTTGCCTGGGTTTTCGCAGATTATGCGTGAACACTGGAATGCATCTCTTTGGGCTGGTTCCTGCCAATTCAGGCTATATAAGGCACTAAAAGCTCTCAAACACCCCCTGAGAGGGTTGAACAAGGCTGAATTCTCTGGGTTGTCAAAGCGGGTACAAGCGGTAAGGGAGGAGCTGAAATTATGTCAGAATAGACTTTACTCAGATCCATCGCCTTCCCTAGTGGCTGAGGAAAAATCGATCAGACAGCGATGGGTAATGTTAGCAGGAGGAGCGGCTCTATAAGCAGAAATCGAGAATTACATGGTTGCGTCTGGGAGACAAAAACACGTCATACTTCCACAGGATTGCATCTGCTCGTGCTGCCCGTAATCACATACAT